GGGTAGACCACAGCATGCGGCACTTTTGAAAAACTATACCACGGGTTGAGAGTGAAATTGGGTAGACGGGACCCTTGGGTACCGTCGATAGCTGTGCTAGCACGAAGTCACAAGCCATCGTTACCGAGGGCTTGAGCTTGCTGTCCTTGTTCAAATTGCTGATCACACTAGATTATTATCCACCAAGAATGTTTAAATCTTGTAAGAGCTAGGCCTCAATCTCAGAATATATATATATATATATATATATATATATATGGGTTTTCATTCTTGGAATAAACTGTAACTAAGTTCTGTTCAGAATAGTTGCAGTATAAACCACAGGTTGGCTCTGTGGGTGTTGAATAAACACAAATGCGCCTGAGAAAGCATATGCAATAGGGATTGGCTAGCCGCCCTAGCAGACAGGTATCCTCAAATACGAATGGGCAGCTATACAGACATAATGTTCGGGAATAGTGACGTTCACGTTGATTCAGATAAACATTTCCCTAAAATCATTTTTTTAAAGCCGGGGCGCTTCATGATCATGTCTCTTCTCAGATAGCTTTTTGTTATAATATATAAAATGCCATGATTTCATGGGAAATATAATCAATTAATCTTCTGTTGATGTATCCATTGTTCTAATGTCAGCCTAGTCGTATTTAATACAAAACACATGGCTTGAAGAATTGCGTTCAAGCAGAAAAGAGACTGTCGCCACTCAATATTGATCTCAGTGTTAACTCTTATGTTTACACACGCTAGTTCTTCTTGACAGCGAAATCTAAAAGCCCGATATTATCAGTTTTGGTGTGGATAAAACGATGGATTCATTCATTTCCAAAGGGTATAATCTTAAAATAAATGCTGCCGAGGTGCTCAGAATTTGAGGGTTTTTTTTGGGGGGTTTTTTTTTATAATTGATTCTAATTTCCGGGCTAATGTTCTTTACACTTAATGTTCTTTACACTACACACACCTCATTAAAAAAATTCCCTTAGTTTATTAATGGACATTATAATGTTATTTAATCTATTACATGAGCTATGCGCGGTAGATTACTTGCGCTTCAGGATGTCGAAACAATAATAATAATGATAATAATAATAATAATGATAATAATAATAACACACACACACACTCATATATATATATATATATATATATATATATATATATATATATATGTTATTATAATTACATATATATATATAATATAATATATATAATTACATATATATATATATATATATATATATATATATATATATATATATATATATATATATATATATCTATGTATGTATCTATGTATGTATGTATGTATGTATGTATGTATGTATGTCTGTTATCCCTCACCAGTAACACAACGCAGTCTTCAGGCAAAACATTGACCGTTACATACGTTACGTTAATAAAAACATCTGGTTAACGCAATGCTGGCGCAGCCCATGTATTATACCAGGATGATGTCTTTTTTTTATTTTAGAAATATATATTGCATTTGAAATAAACGGGTATTTTTTATATTTATTTAAAATAAATGCTGATTAATATTTTATATTATTTCTAAAATAAGCAAGGAATAGTGGTATTTATTTAAGGAAAATATCTAAATAGAAGGACCTAAAACTAAATATATATAAAATTATTTAAAGTTGCGATTATTATTTTAAATTACACATAAAGGTGGATTACACAGTTTTTTTAAAAAAATAAATAATTGTTAAAAAGTTTATATAAAATTAAACGTACCTAGGAATCATAAAATAATTTTTATATGTTCGGCATAAGAGAGAGTGAACAGAAGAAAATAACAATAAGAAAAATGAAAATAAAATATAAAAGTTATAAAAAAGGGTAAGTAGCGGTAAAAGTTAATCTGGATCAACGTATTTAAACAAAGAATTATCTTTACGCTTACAGGTGACCATCAATTAATTTCTCTTGTTTAATAAGTTACGGTTATTTCAGAGTTTAAAGATAACTATCTTTTCTACAAGGCAGAAATTATTTCTATCGCCTTTCTCATTTAACAATGGTATGCTTACCCTGAAGATCCTTTTAAGAGAAACCTAGGTAGTTAGTTCCAGGCTCCTTAGTAT